ACTGGTGGTTACTAACATAACGATAATCGGCAGATTATATATTTGGAATAATCGGCCTGAAAATAATTGGCCTCACTAGTCGGCAATTTTTGTGATCGCTCATCTCTTGTAGTTTTATCATAGAAATTTATCAAAGCAGTATATGTATAATTAAAAGCAAATATGTGAATAAAGTTAATGTAAATGAAATAGGGAAAACTGAGTGAATTTATCTCTGTGGACAATATAGCATACCTTCACTACGTCTTGTATAATCTGTAGCTGCGTTTCATCTAAAATCCCTTGAAATTTGCTAACCAAAACAGCATAAGCCAGAATCGAACTCTGGAAAAAAAATTCACTTTAAATAATTAAAAAAGAGAGATTAAAAGAGTTTCCCTCAAACAAAACAAAACAATGTACAATATACCCATGCAGTCGTGCATGGATGTGCATGAATAAACTATCGTTGGACTCCATAATCACCTGGGAACGAGGTTGCATAATCAGGTCCATGGTAAAACTATTTGTATATTGGGCAAGTCTCGTATCAGAGCAAGCGCCTTTCACCTCTGAGACCACGCCCACGGGCTCGATTCTCGCACTGCAGACTCATGGCTAGCCTGCATGGCAGGCGGTTCCTAAAATTGGGCAAGCCTGGGAAATAACTTAGACCGCCTGCCATGCAGGCTAACTCATGGCATGCACTTATGCATGTAAATAGAATCATACAGTCAACGCTCTACCGAGACTTGTGAGTTCTCCGGGTACTCCGGTTTCTTCCCACAGGGAATGTTGACAGGTTGGGTTGGGATCAGCCCCTATAAATGACCCATCCACCGTCGGTGTGCTCCATAGTCAGACATGAGATATAATGCCTAGGTTACACGTGCAATTTTTTACCGCGCGTGCAACACAACGGGCTAAATTTAAACGCGTTGCCGATGCAAGACAAGTGGCAACACGTGCAATGATTTTTTTCGTCTGGTATTAAAGACATTCAGTGCAAAGTCAGAATTTTATAAATCGAGGGCAAATTCGTGATTTCTTGACAAAATTTAGATTAGATTAAACTTTAATCACTGTGAAGTGTGGTCTGATCGATAGAAACAAAAATATTATGTTATCAATATTCATGGAGGCTGCCGAAAGATCCTAATATGCGTTTAAAAGTGTATGAATATTTGTAACGTTTTGGCAATTAACTAATTTTGCCATGTATCGACAGCTAGTGGTGTGTAAACGTATTAGTCTACGATACTAGATTAGGCGCCCCAAATATATTTTTCACCAGCCATGCAGTCCACTTGTCAAGTGAAGAAAATTCATTGGCTAAATATAATCAGTTGTAATTTGCTATTTTCGACAACGAGTCAACGACTCGATCAGGTTGAGCTATACGTCCTTCGTAATTCAGCTTAGCTATCAGCTGCAAGTAAGAGTAAATCCTATACTTTTTTGCTCTTTTCTGTAATTTTTAGTTGAAACGCATGTTGTATATAGAAGCTCTCCAGTATCTCTGCTGATATTTACCAATTACACTAATGAGAGTGGAATTTTTTATATACATTTATTATACCTAACCAGGAGTATAGTTAGTTGCGAAAAATGCAACTATCGGCCCGCTGGAACGAATCGAACCTGTGGCCCTGTGATTCCGGTGCAGTGCTCTAACCAACTGGGGCCGGTGGACTAGCGGATTTCAAAACTTCAGAGAAGAAAACTTCTACTGACTCAGACAAGATCTCTGAAGAAATATTAACAGGCTGTTGGAAAGTTTGCTTTGAATTTTAGGTTAACCTAGGGTTAAGCTAACCCAGCTTTGAACAAGTGGCCCCTGGTGGCCCCTGAGCTACAGAGAGACAGCTGTCGAGCTCTGACGACAAGTTCATGCATAAATACTAAGATGATGCCAATGTGCGGTGTATATGGGTGAATATGAGGGTTTTGGTCATCTCACCATTATACCATTTTAGTATTTTTGCACAAGTGAACATAACAAATCCTACAAGGTGATTGGTCAAATTTGACGTATTAATCTGTTATATTCACCTTCAGGTGAATATAACAAAATCGAAATTTTCAAAATGGCGGCTAGCCGCGTTGTTGAAGTTAGTGATAAAGAAATAAGCGAAATTAAAATGAATTCAGACCTGAAAAAAAAACACAAAAAAACTTGTGCAAAAATACTAAAACAATTATTCGCCTCAGGCTCGGTGATTATCGGGGAATATTCACCTCGACTTCGTCTCGGCGAATATTCCCTAATAATCACCTCGCCTTCGGCGAATAATTGTTAAATAACTTGAAGTTCTTATTTTATCAATATAATTTTTAATTTATAACTTTGTAAATAAATTAGCATACGTTATGTACCGTTTAATTATGCAATTTAGCTTGCATGCATGCACATGGACTGTGATGTAATCTGTTTGCAATAAACTATCTAGATCTTCATATGTACCTTAAATTTGGTCAGTTGCCATTTACACATACACTCTTGTATCGTTCCTTCAGCTTCAACGAGCAATGTTTCCGAAATATTTTTAATGTCCGATCGATAGGCTGTGAAAAGCATCTGATAGAACTATATATTGAGACAAAAAATCCATGATTATACACCAGCATATTTTAAATATAATTCACGATCAGTTGCATATTCAACTGCTGCTGATTTAACACTTCCAAAGCCTAAAAGAGATTTCATGAAGAATAGTTTCAAATTGCGATATAGTATACTGTATAGCATGCTTTGGTATATATACTCGCTACGATTCTCAAGAGATCTATCACTCCCAAACAACTCATACTTTACACCTTAAAAAATCCTTAAAACACTTAAAAAGTCTGTTCAAAAAATTCCGAAAATAAAAATAAAAAAAATAAATAAAAATTCCGAAAAAAATAAAAAAAACACCATTAAAAATTAAAAATTAAAAAAAAAACCACCATTAAAAACACCATCAAAAACACCATTTTAATTTTTAAACACCATTAAAAATTCGGAAATTTTTTTAAAAAAAATTGGAAAATAATCCAGAAAAATCCTACGGGATTTTCGAAATCCCAAGAATCTCGTATACTGGACGATTCTAATCTTTTGGCGCTCAAGTGCATCGTCTCCCAATCCTCCTTACGAAAGCGTTAGCTTTTGATGCATGTACGTTTTAGAAAACAAGCTATAGGTCTGGATATAACTCATCATCTATTTTAGGCATCACGTGCGTTTTGTATTTTCGATCAATAGACATTCCCGAATTATTACACTGTCCGCCTCGATTTTTAACTATTGTTTCATGTGCACTCAAGCAAGTTCGGGAAGTGTCTATGGTAAATTAACTAAATTTTCACTCAGTTAACCGTCCGTGAAGACATGAGGGGAAACTTACGTGTTGTAAAAATATCATGGGCGTTGCGACGTATACTTTCCAGTCAATTGTTTTCAATATAATTAATTCCATTTTTAGTATATCTGATTTCGAGCATCCGCATTGGCTGGCCTCCAACACCACACCAACGACAGGGATATTCTATAAGAAATTGAACAAAGTACTTTATACGCATTTTGAAGATGACAAGAAATCGGATAATTATGGTAGTTTGGGTATCGTCGGTTACCAGTTTGAAAGAGACATGGTATTTATCGAAAACTATAGAAACTACAATAATAATACAATACAAATTTTAGTAATTTGCTCTCATAACCTACTTGGTTCACCCAAATAAGATATATTTTTATTGGAAATGCCTTTTATTTCGCCTTTTGTTATTCCTTAAGCCGTTGGGAAACTACTCAACAGCAACGTCGTTGATTAAATCGTTTGCATTTCCCTCCATTGTCCTCATTTTGATCAAAGTCACGTGAAGAAACCATGGATTCTCATTGGCTAGTTAATTCAAGCTGCTCAGCACCAAGCTCACAACATCCGCACACGTTGAGATATTTTCCTTGCGAGTTGAAAAATATCAAACACAATAGATATTTTCCTCAAAGCCTCGAGAGGTCAAATCCTCACGAAAACTATCCGCACACAAGAGAAACATGCCGAGCTAGCCACCACTCGAAGCGGTCAGCTCAGCAAGTTTCTCTCGTGTGCAGCAGGCTTTATAGGGCCTGTTCATATGTATAGGAATCCGGTTTGTGGGGAAGCTCACCTGGGATGAACTAGTTTTATGAATTATTCCACCTAATTATCTCGCCACGGTCGCCATAGTGTGGGCAAACAGTATTTTAATTTGATAGATTTTAGTTGTGAACAAACGTATCTTTTGGGAGTATTCCCCCCTACCGACTGCAATCAGCCTTTTAGCTGGCCTACGTGATAGACTACAGCTCGATTGACGTAGGCTACATTTTAGAAAACAAGTTGCAATGTAATTTATGTGTCAGCCGTTTTTACTTACCACCTCCCCCCCCCCCTGACTTCAAATCGGGAACCAAAACGGATTCTTAAATGATTTACCTCGTCTTCCTCGACTGCTTTGATGGATATGAAATAAGCCGTAATGGCTACACAACGCAAATACTTCACTCTGACCTATATGCATGAAAATAGGAAAAATTACTCCAATTAACAAAATAAACACCTTACTTTGTCCGTTTTCTAAACTTCCAATACTTTCATCCACTAAATTCTAAGACGTCTTGAGAGTCATTCCCAATTATTTATATACAGATGCTCACAAAGCTACATTCATAAACAAACGGGGTGGTCTCGTAATTTTGAAAACGGGTGTGATAGCACTGAAAACTGAAGTATGTCCCTGAAAATTTTCCTACTGGTGAAAACATGAGATACAAATTCATAATTATACTTTACCTTTGTTGTTAGCAAAAACTTGTCAAATATATGAACAGCTAAAACGAACGATTCGGGCTGTAGACGGAAGTTTTCATTTAACACACGTAACCAGCTCATTGCTTTATCTCGTAAATTTGCTTCAACTTCACTGGCCTAGAGTACAGGAAACACGTGTATTTGGAAATTAAGTATCTGACATTAAAAGAGTACTTATATAAATTACGAGAAAGACCAGATTCAACAAGGTGGAAATCAAGGCAAGTTAAAATTAGATGATTTAGGAAGAACTTTGATTTGTTTTATAGATTCAAAAAATTCGTCTTATAGATTCAAAAAATTCAAAATAAATTTTGAATTTGAAAAATATATATTCCTGAAATTATAGTAATGTTAAATTTACTACGTCGAGCTGTTATACAAAGCTCAGAATTTCAGCTCAAATATCAGCTCATAGACATAGATTAGCTGTTGAAACATAGCAATGTTCCGTACGATAAAAGAATTTGTCAACATTGCATGCGATTTAAACGCCGGAGGTCGAAAACGAACTGCACTATTTAATGCGGTGCAAAAATATAATACAAGGTTTACTAATCTCAGAGCGGATTTTAGCTAATATTATACCTCAAATTCAAATTGTCCACTCAAAAAGCAGCATTTGACCACGTGACAATGTGATTTTTTACGGTATTTCACTCAAATCATGATTTCGCAATGCAGGGTGAGATGCTATAATATCCCACGGTAGATCCCACTGTGGGATATTATAGTATCTCACGCGTGACGCGTGGACTGGTGGACACCACGCTCTGAAACAATATGGCGTTCGCGGGCTGTTTGTAATTTCGTACAGAAGATTTATTGATTTAACCAAAGATTTTCAAGACGTATGTTACCTTCAATGATCCAAAGGATACATGCTCAAATATTTTAAAGATAAAACGTCAAAAACTCAGTCAGCAAGTTTTAAAGTTTATTCTGAACTTAGTGGGTTCTTTAACTTTCGGTATAAGATATAATTTATAGACCCTCCGCTCGAGGGATTCGTCGAAATATTACCCTCAGTAATGATACTGAATGGCTAAATATCATCACTTCGGGTAATATTCCGCCGAATCCTCCTCGCTCCGGGTCTATACATGATAATAAGCTTAACCAAATAAATCACTCGTTTTCTTCTTTTAATAATCATGACTTGTTTATGCATGTTATTGCAATGAAAGACAAATGCGTGGGAACATTGAAGTATTGCTTGATGTCCTAACAAATTTTGATCAATTATAAATCTAGTCTTTTTGTAAAATTAATATATTATTATATGTTTTGTATATTCTATGTACCAATATTGGTAACTCTGTTTGTGTTTGTTTACATACAGTATTCTCTTTTTCAACATGTTCAAACACATAATCTGCATGCACGATTAGTTTATTTTCAGTATATTTAACAATTAGTGGTATATATAGCTTTATTTTAATAAAATTATACATATTAAAAAAGACAACTTGATAAACTTGATTGTTGACCGTCGTCGGTGTTGACAAAAACGTCGCTTGCTTAATTAAGCTCACTGATGTCATAAGCACAATAACGTCTTGAATACAACAAAAAGCCCTTTATAGTCGGCTGGTTTTGGCAGGTTTGCTCAATTTTGGGATGGCATTTGGTAAGCATGAGTGCATGACGTGACGTGGAAAAAGGACAGTGACATGAATACAACTGCATGAACGCTACCTTCAGCCAAATCTGAAGCCAAATCTGACCCCAAGACCCGCGTGTTTATGCCTCGCGATTCTCTCGTGAGACCAGTTCAGGGAGCGAGCATGTTCTTTAAATAAACAATTATAGAAAAAAATAAGAAAAATCTGAAAGTAAAGTCTACTAGGCAGTTTTACCTGAATAAATCAAATGCATTTATAGAAAGCTTTGAGCGTTGTTAAAAAGCTTTTTTGTGTAAATTTTAAGCCGGTTTTCAAGAATACAGATTGACGGATTGACCGCGCTCTTCGCATGCGTGAAAAGACTGGGACTGGCTTACCCTTCGTTTAATATAATATTTACTTCACTCAAACCCCAAAACTGCTCGAAATATTGAAAATTTTATCCTCAATCAGGCTGGAGATGATTCTTGAAATCTGCGCTTTGAAATTTGCTTGTTTTATAGCCACATTTTCGTTTTAGTAGCTTAATTTTACATTTCGTGTTTAGTAGCTTAATTTTACCTTTCGTACCACAGTTTGGAATTTTAATTGAATTATCAATTTTTTGAAACAAAATATGTAAACAAAACGAAAGGACTTTCACAAACGACAAACTTTAAATCACATTTGAAGGTAAGCTCTACAGGTTTTCCACGGCTAAGTGGCTACTTGTGCTTCAATTTTAATTTGAAAAATTGTCTCAACTTCGAACGGCTAACTTTTGTCGTCAACAGATCGTTTGCGGTTAGCGATCTGCTGTAAACGTACAAATGAGTTGGTACGACTGGATCGATCAAAAGTGAAATCAGCCATTCATTTTAGCCTGCGAGCATGACTCGTCGGTCGCCGAAAAAATAATATTCTTTCATTCTTGTATTCATATAATATGACTTCAGGTATATTCATATTCAATGCTAATTCGACAGTCAAATTTTGATCCTGAAATATTATTTTTGGCACCTTTTGCCCTTATTCCTGATTTAATGTATTTACTGTGATTCTTCGATGAGTGATATTGATAACTGGTATAAACGTTTTCCGCCAGCAAAGACAACGTCATGCACGTATAAACTATATCCCATATACGTATAGTAGTTTAATTAAGTCGGTCACGTTTTGAAATATACAATGATATAAAATAGTATTCCTTTATCGAAATTATCATAACAAAGAAACTATTAAAAAACTCAATCATCTAATGTTGACATTGTTGTGTTTGTTGAGAACCTCATTTGCATGCGAAAGTACAACAGCTCAAGCTAATAATCTCTTGCACGATATCATTCGATTGCAGTGTGATATAACTATATACACGACTTAGAGTAAAATTATCCCTTGGCCTTGAAACATTCACCCTTCATATTATAGGGCTATCATACTAATAACTAATTGTACAAACTGCTATTCAGGAATCCAAGATGATTGATTACGATCAATAAATTCAAACTAGCATAAATATATTATTGTTCTCTTCACTATCTTTATAACCAACTGAAGTTCCAGGCTTTGTGTCTGGGGTACTGTGCAGGCTGTTCTGTGTTCTGGTAGAAAATTAAATTTACCTGATACGTTCGTGCTTTTTGTGTCTCATAATATCGTATGATCATTGTTTATACTGTGAGAAATGAATGATTTGAAATAATTTGCATTCAAACCAAAATAAAGACTTAAGTGCATACTACCAATAACTTTGACTCTTGCTTTAAATAACATACACAATTAATACTTATATCTAATACTTATATCTCTTAGGTATAGTGTCTTCTGTGATACCATGCCTTTCCAAATACTTACTATAGTATAGTAAACACTGCCTAGTAAAATTATGCAGACAACTGCGACACTTGCGTACGCACTTGATGGTGTTTAATTGCAAGAAAGAAAGTTGAGATTTAAAAGCTATCTGAACTAGTTCCTAGCGAAATTACTGCAATATATGGAAAGCAAGAATGTACTTGATGTGGTGGAACTGTAGAAGAGCACATAATGAAAGCTGCAAATTAATACACGGTGATGAAATGAATGTATATAGTTACAACAATCAAATAATCAGTCACAAATGTAAATACGCCATATAACTTACTGTTCTTGATATATACGCATGATGAATCCTTGTTCCTAGGTTATGTTCCCTTGTAAGAAGCCGTTTCAGAGGCTCCATATGTCGTGGTCACGAACTGCGTCCAGATGCTATCTCGCTTAGACACGGTGTTCTGGTTTCTCTCCTAATTTGCTACATTTGAAGCACAATAGTTACTGGTCTAGTCTAAGATATCAGCTTACATGATGAAATTACACGAAAACAAATCCAAGGCTCAAGAGTATCGTTATCGCCCAAATTCTTTCCCTTTAAATGTACTGAAGGTCATGTCCTGTTTACACTAAATATACTTCTATTATTACGCATATATTATTTATACATATATTCGTACAATTTGAAGTAACCAATCAGCAACCTTATCCAGCCTTATAATTAAATTTAAAAAAGGAAATACTATACGCTTATGACGTACGATTCGGGCAACATTTTTTGAAGATCTTTATTGCCGAGGTATACCAAGGTGGTTAAAGTGCAGCTGTAGTCGATGGTATTGGTAACGTCAGTTTATTTTTCTTGCCATGCATCAATTGCATAACATTTTGGTTGTCGTTGAACACAAAGTTTGACACAAATTTGTTGGTTCAAGATCATGTTTCATTGACATTGTAAAAGTGACCTTCAAATGTAAAAGTTGCGCACGCCTTTAATACCAATGCCAAGGACGCATGCATACCACATTCTGTGCATCCGTGGTGGTGTTATGATTACTTCACGGTTGATACCGAAAAGAGTGTGTGCAACTGTCAAAGCTTTATTTTGTTTACGTGTTGTGGTCATTATGAACACGTGGACAACATGCTTATGATAATTTGGAATTTACAAGTTTTGGTACTTGTATTATTACATTGCTTGAGTATCGTAGTACATACATAACAAATGCTGCGCAGTAAACACTTTGGAGAAAATTAACAACAAATAACCAGAAAACTTTGATTTGCATGGTTCGGTATGCTGTCTTTGCTACCATGATGCATGGTAACACGATAACACATTGCGATTTTGTTGAGCCAATTTCACATTTTGCATTTTTGCTGGATGTTGATGACGAATATTTTCAGTTCGTAATACAATGGACCCCCTCGTTAATACGGTTTCTTCGTTGTTATATACAGCCACTTTTTCGGCCCGGCAATACGGCCATACACTGTCTTATAAAAATACCGCGTTAATGCGGTCACCCCTTATTTAATAATACGACCAATGGCCACATTTTGAAATCCCAAACAGTATAATCCTATATAATTTCACCCCGTTAGTACGGCCATGCACTCGCGCTTAATTTAGAAAACTAAAACGACTGTGAACACTGAGTCACTGACACGGCAGATGTCATTTCAAAAGTGATTTCCCACACTCAAAGCGATCGGTTGGAACCAGAACAAGCCAGTCGAACTCTGTCGAAGGTCACCGATTTTTTTTCAAAATCCTGAACATATAAATATATCACAATCACACTTTCTGAACAACTGATAAACAACCGGAATGGAGGTATAATTGTAAAAAATACTTGAAACTTCACACGATACTACAACTGCAAAAAACATTTCGTGACACGATTCATCCCAGCTAGCTCAGGCTACGTCATAGACGAAGAATCCAGCTACAGTATATATAACAATTAACACGTAGGCTAGGCTGGCCGTGAGAAAAATTGCCACGGAACTCAAAATAGTATAAGGAGTTTGGCAACCGACAACGGCAGAAAACTAAATTACTTACATTTTTGTATTCGAGCCAAAGCATACATTACTAAACTTTACTTTTACCTATCTTCAAACTCATTAACAATTCATGAGTAAATTAGCCAACCGTATTGCTTTATTTTGCTCACATGATAATACCGGTACCTGGTTCAAAATTAATAATTACCATTAATTATTTAATAATCTTGACCTTTTTATCTTGACCTTTTTACGAGTTACAGGAACAATCGCAATTGCTCAATCGTTATTGAATTTTTTTAACAAGGATCCTACTAAAAATGTCTATCTAGTGATTATATACAAGGCAACATGGTCATGGTATTTTAGCGAATCAAAAACCATTGACGTGCATTGTGGTGGTGCAAAGATGTCTTTTCCCATCTTCTCAGACATATTATTGTTGTAAATTTGTAGCTTAGATTTAGTGTAGAATATATCTTAGTTAATTAAAGTCATAATTTCGTATGTATGTTTATGTTATATAATATTATAATCATAAAATATATAAGTAAACTGGAACATTGAAGAACAGGAAATACGAACGTTAAAAGAAAAGAGGAACATTTTTTAAACAAGATGAATTAATGTACGAACGTGAGGGACGTTTTTGCATAATGTACGTCATCCACACATTGCCCTGGCTTAATTCCAAGCTCTGCGAAAAAGTTCCCATAGCTGGAACAACAAGACGGTGATAAATAAGAATTGTATTAGATTACTGATAAATAGCGTTTGTAAGAGATGGAGTGAGATTGTTAGAGATCGTGATTATTAGAGATTGTTTGAGAGAAAGAATGAAACAACCGATAGCATGCAGACATTTTTAGCGTGCTTTTTTTGCACACCTTAAAAGGTGTGTAAAATTACACACCTTTTTAAAAAAAAAAACACGCCATAAGAGTTAAGGTGTGTGAATTTGGCGACAGGCAAATTACTAAGGCGTGTAAAATTACGCACCTTTTCTGGTAAAAGGTCTGTAAAAATACACACCTTTTTTATCTAAATACACACCTGAAGGTGTGTAAAAATACACGCCTTAAGGTGTGTTAATTTGGCGACAAGAAATGTGTGTAATATTTACACACCTATTTTTTAGAGTGTATACAGTCCATTTGAATAGCAGCAAAGGAATAAATCTCGCGAAGAGAATTTATAACAGCACGGTTAATAGACCTACAATCAGGAGCAAAAATTATCAGACAAACGCATTCAATGTTGTGTGGATGACTAGTGAAAAGAGAAAATTCAACCCGCTTTTTCCAACATTGATCATGGGGGGAGGGGGGAGGCCGACGTACTTGAAAATGGCCAAACACGTGAAAAGTCTCATTATTTTTGCTCCTGATTGTCTGAGATGAAGCTGTCTGGGGGTTAGCTGTCCAAAATTTGAAATTTTGCCAAACACTAGCGATCATGAAATTGACATATTTCAATCAATTAACCAAAATTTTTTGTCCCCCAAAATGTAGAAATTCTGCAAGGAGGCTGCGCGGGGACTGGGCAAGAATGAAGAAGCTTTTCTGACGAGTTTAATTTTTGTACTGTCATTACTTACTAGAGAAAAATCTTTGGGAAAATAGACAAGCTGTAGGCTAGGTACGATCTATTAAAATACTTGGCGATATAGTAAGACATATCCAATAAGCCACAAAATTCTTATTTCCTGAGGAGAGAGTATATGACAGTTTCTCAACTCAGCATATGACGAAAAATAAGAAAACTTTGTCATTTATACTGCAGTATGTGCTGTTGTGCTTGTGGGATGTTCACCAATTAATCTAAAGTGATTAGTTCATGTAAATTTTATGCACTTGGGTTCATTAAGCAAACGCTGACATGTTACACACACGTACACGTTACACCTACTTTACATAATAATCTATAGTCGTGTCATATCTCTATATGTTTTACTACAGATTATTATGTAACGTGTGGTGTAACGTGTGTGTAACGTGTCTATATTCAGTACGTAAAAATAGATTGATATTTTGCGCATGTGCGACCAGATTTGCTTGAGCTCATCTCACATAATCCCGAAATCATGGGAGATGGAAGTTTGCAATAAATTCTAGTGCAAGTTTACGATCGGTAAGTTCGTATATCAAGATAAATAAAAAGCTTGAATTGGGTTTAAAATTTAGTGAGTATGTCAATCTTACGTAACAATTCAGCTAAAAGTAGGAAAATCATTGAAATTTTTCCAAAATAGGTTTGACGACGCGTTGTCTGAAAATTCTTGAACTTAAAGGAAATATTCTGTTTGAGAGAAAAAATATACTCATGATTGTCAACCATGGGGAAAAATTGTCTGAAATTTATTCATTATTTCATAATCTTCTTCCAATGTATATATTCGTCAATTATCGACGTCCTTTCCAAACAAAAATAGCTATAGTTCTCAAGATCACCTATATTTTTTTACATGAAGTACTCAATTATAGAAAACCACTGAGAAAAAATATTATATAGCAAAAGATTCATTAAGCAAGAAATCCAAGTCAGCGTCTTTCCTGGAGCAATAAGTTGAATCAACATGAACGAATTACGTTTCATTCAAAAGTACAAATAGAGACAATCAGGAGCAAAAATTATTGAGACAAACGCATAAATGCCCCCCTCACCCCCAATTCAATGTTGTGTGGATGACTGAAAAGAGAAAATTCAACCCGCTTTTTCCAACATTGATCATGGGGGGAGGGGGGAGGCCGACGTACTTGAAAATGGCCAAAAACGTGAAAAGTCTCATTATTTTTGTTTCGTTCCCCGCAGGAACGAAACGGTACTGTATTTGGTTTCGAGCAATGTCACAGGAAAGTGACGTCAGATATCAAAGTTATCCAATCCTTTGCCAGTATTCTTGCTGAAACGTCAATTACATTTAGAATATCTTAGTTAATTAATTATATGTCAACTTGTCAAGCGAAGTTCTATTATCCGCTTTGTGTGACGACGTGGTCATAGAAGACGTGGTGTCCTAGAACTGAATCCATGAGCAAAATCATGCACTGCGAACGTGATTACTTTGTGTTATTTGCCCTAATTTCACTCTGAATTACATGTCTCGCACTGGCGTCGCCCCCCCCCCCCTGCCCCCATGATCAATGTTGGTAAATGTGGGGTGAATTTTCTCTTTTCAGTCATTCACACAACATTGAATTGGGGGTGAGGGGGGGGGGGCATTTATGTGGTTGTCTCAATAATTTTTGCTCCTGATTGTAGGAAGTAATTGGCTAATAACATGACTTATGTCAAACCTCAATGAATTTTCCTCGTTGCTGGTAAATTTTTTCCTGGTCTTCGTGTAATAATCATGTAATAATATCCACAGAATGAAAATAATAAAAATTTATAGTGCTAGTGTAGACGGTAAAAACAATCCGAAGACGGGTGTGGACGCAGATATCTGTGCGCGTTTTCGAAATTTTAAAAACGAAGGGATTTCGAAACCGATTAGGGGAGGATCATTAGAAATCCCGGAATTTTTCCTAGTCATATCATTTTTCTTTTCAAGTTTTTCTTTTGAGAATTGTAATAACACACCATCCATCCACCCCCCCCCCCCATCCTCTTGGGATTTCTAATGGTCCGCCCCTTAT